TCCAGTTTTTACTACTACTACTACTACTACTATTACTACTACTACTCCTACTACTACTACTACTACTACTACTACTACTACTACTACTAGTAGTACTACTACCACTACTACTACTACTACTACTACTACTACTAATACTACTACTACTACTACTACTACTACTACTACTACTACTACTACTACTCTTACTACTAGTACTACTACTACCACTACCACTACCACTACTACTAGTACTACACTACTACTACTACTAACTACTAAACTACGACTACTACTACTAATACTACGACGACTACTACTACAACTACTACTACTTTATTATTATTCTTATATTATTATTTCTACCACTATTACAAACTACTACTACTACTAACTACTACTACTACTACTACTACGACATACTGCTACTACTACTACTACTACTACTACAAACTCCTACTCCTACGCCAATTCCTACTCCTACTACTACAACTACTACTACTACTACTACTACTACTACTACTACTACACTACTACTACTACTACTACTACTACTACTACTACTACTACTACGACGACTACGACTACTACACTACTACTACGACTACTACTACTACTACTACTACTACTACTACTACTACTACTACTACTACTACTACTACTACTACTGCTACTACTACTACTACTATTACTACCACCACAATTTCGGCTGCGACTACGCGCACCTGTACCACCAATAGTAATGCCACCGCTGCCATGACCAGCACCAGCTACCAGCTGGCCGTTCCGAACTACCAGCTAGTTGGACGACGCCTACGATTTCCATTGATACGGCGACCAAGTACTACTATCATTTTTTTAATTATCCTGCATGGGGCGTCTAAAGCTCCGGCAACTTTATTTCGGCACGGCGCTGCCCCCCCATCCCGCGCTCCACCTCCGCATCGCCCCGACCACCAGCGAACGCACCCCCTCCGCCCCGACGCCCCCGCCCACCAGCCAGCGCGCCCCCTCCGCCCCGACCCCTCGGCACGGCGCCGCCCCCCCGAGCGCCCCCTCTTCGTCGCCCCGCCCGCCAGCCAGCGCGCCCCGCCTCTCCCCGGCGCCTTCACTTCGGCGCGCCCCCCCCCCCCCTCCCATCCCGAGCGCCACGCCCGTCGCCCCATCCACCAGCCAGCGCGCCCCTCCGCTCCGACCCATGTCGCTTCGGCGCGGCGCCCCCCCCCGCCTCGCCCAGCCGCGCCCCCGCGCCGGAAGCCAACGCGCCCCCTCCACCCCGACCCCCTCTCATCGGCGCGGCGCCGCCCCTTCCCATCCCGCGCGCGTTCTCCGCCCCCCCCGCCCGCTAGCCAGCACGCGACCGCCCCCTCCGCCCCGACACTTGCACTTCGGCACGGCGCCGCCCACACCCCATCCCGCGCCCTCCCCCGCGCCTCCCCGCCCGCCGGGCAGCGCGTTCCCTCCGCCCCGGCCCGCGTTATTTCGGCGCGGCATCGCCCCCCCCATCCCGCGCGCCCCCGTGCGTCGCCCCACGCTCTAGCTAGCGCGCCCCCTCCGCCCCGGCCCCTTTATGCCGGCGCGGCGCCGCCCCCCCCGCCGCGCGCGCCCCCTCTGCACCCCCCCACTCGCCAACCAGAGCGCCCCCCCTCCCTGGCCCCCTTCTTGCAGCCCGGCGCCCCCCCCCCGCATCAAATGCGCGCCTCCTCCGCGCCCCCCACCCGCCAGCCAGAGCGCCCCCGCCCGCCCCGACCCCCATGATTTCGGCACGGCCTCGCCCCGACCCGACCCCTTACATAGGCCCTCCGCGCCCCGCCCCCCGCGCTTCCGCGCCCCGACCCTTGCCGTTTCGGCGCGGCGCCGCCCCCTCCGCCCCGGCCCCTTTTATGTCGCCGCGGCGCCGCCCCCGCCCCATCCCTCGCGCCCCCTTCTGCGCGCCCCCTCCACCCGCCAATCGGAGTGCCCCCCCCCGCCCTTGCCCCTTTGTTTCGGCGCGGCACAGCCCCCTCACATCCCGCGCGCCTCCTCCGCGCCCCCCACCCGCCAGCCAGAGCGCCCCCTCCGCCCCGACCCTTTGTTTTCGGCACGGCCCGCGCCCCCTCCGCCCGCGCCCCCCCCGTGCCCCGACCCCTTTTGTTTCGGCGCGGCGCCGCGGCTTCCGCCCCGACCCCTTCATTTCGGCACGGCGCCTGCCCCCCCATCCCGGGCGCCCCCTCCGCGTTGCCCCGCCAACCGGCCAGCGCGCTTCTTCCGCCCCGACCCGTTTATTTCGGCACGGCACCGCCTTCCCCATCCCGAGCGCCACATCCTCCCCCCCCTCCACCAGCCAACGCGCCCCCACCCCCCCTCCCACTTTCCGTGCAAAGGCCATGGCGCGCGTGCCGTTTGTTATTACTACTGCAGATCAGACTACCACTAAGTATAATGCTACTTGTGCTGCTACCAGTACGACTACCACGATTCCGATTATTATTGCTACTACTACTACTACTACTACTACTACTACCACTACTACTACTACTACTACTACTACTACTACTACTTCCACTACTACTCATACTGCTACTACTACTACTACTACTACTACTACTACTACTACTACACTACTACTACTACTACTGACTACTACTACTAACTACTACTACTACTACTACTACTACTACTACTACTACATACGACGACGACGACGACGACGACGACGACGACGACGACGACGACGACGACGACGACGACTACTACTGCTACTACTACTACTACTACTACTACTACACTACTACAACTACTACTACTCACTACTACTACTACTACTACTTACTACTACTACTACTAACTACTAACTACTACTACTACTATTGCTACTACTACTGCTACTACTGTTACTACTACTACTACTACTACTACTACTACGACTACTACGACTACTACTACTAGTACTATTATTATTACGATTACTACTACTACTACTACTACTACTACTACTACTACGCTCACTACTACTACTATTATTACTCACTACTACCACGACTACTACTACTACTACTACTACTACTACTACTGCTACTACTACTACTACTACTACTACTACTACGACGACTACTACTACTACTACTACTAGTAGTACTAGTACTAGTACTACTACCACGACTACTTTTACTAATACTACTGATTCTGCGACGACGGTTGCCGATACCACTACTACTACCACAACTACTACTACTACTGCTACCACCACTACTATTTTTACTACTACTACTACTACTACTACTACTCCGACTACGACTACGACTACGACGACTACGATTATTACGACTACGACTACTACAGTTTCTTCTAGCACGGTTACTGCAACGACGACGACGACGATAATGTTTATTTCTACTGCTATTATTACCACGACCACCACTACCACCAGTATTACTTCTACGGCTACGATTGCTTCATCTATTTCCACTAGCGCCACTACGACTACTACCACGACTACTACTACTACCACTATTACTACTACTACTACTACTACTATTATTACTAAAACTACTACTACTACTACTACTACTACTACTACTACTATTGCTACTACTACTACTACTACTACGAATACTACTACAACTACTACTACTACTATTATTACAAGTCTATTTACTACTACTACTACTACTACGACTACTACTCATCGACTACTACAACTACTAGTACTACTACTACTACTACTACCACCACTACTACTACTACTACTACTACCACTACTACTACTACTACTACTACTACTTTTACTAGTACTACTACTACTACTACTGCTACTACTACTACTACTACTATTGTTTACCACTACTACTACTACTACTACCACTACTACTACTACTACTACTACTGCTACTACTACAACTACCATTGTTACTACTACTACTACTACTACTACTACTACAACAATTCTACTAATACTACTACTACTACTACGACTACTACTACTACTACTAACGTACTTACTACTACTACTACTACTACTACTAACTACTACTACAACTACTAAACTACTACTAACTCTACTACTACTACTAACTACACTACTACTACTACTACTACTACTACTACTACTACTACTACTACTACCACTATTATTACTACTACTACTACTACTACTACTACTACTACTACTACTACTACTACTACGGCTACGACTACCTCTTTCCCGAGGAGCGCCAGAGGAATCCGAGGCCCCCCCAAGAGCACACGCCAGCAGTACCTCCGCACACACGAGTTGCCGGGACGATGGATTTATTTCAATTTCTCCGAGACCCGAATTTTCTGATCCCCACTTTGTGAATGTCAGGGGCATTCAGTTAGTTACGGTTTTGTACCTCGGGGGCCAAATCTTGGACAATTCGGCCGTCCAACTTCAGGGCCCCGAGTCATCATGGCTGGGGGCGGCCAGGGATGGTTGTAGATTCAGGCCTCGTCAGCTCAAGCCAGAGTTACCCCAGACCGCAATTATCCCGGATAGCTCGGGCGCCCATTCCTCCGAAATCATCAGGGTTGGGGGGTGTCAGGAGTGATTGCAGGTTCGCGCCTCGGGGACCCAAGCCAGAATGAACCCCTGACAGCAATTGTGCCGGACAACTTGGGCGTCCAACCCTCCCGAATCATCAGGGCTGGGGGCGGACAGGGGTAACTACATATTCGCGCCCCGGGGTCCCCAGCCGGAGTTACAGTAGGCTCTTGTCGTGTCGACTCGCGGCGACCCCGCCGACAGCGTTCAGCGTTGATCGCCGCTGGCGGCTCAGAATCGGTCGAAGTTGAGCGATGCGACGTTTCGGAAACCGCCGATCCTTCAAGGTTGAGCGATCCCTGCTGTGTCAGGAGCCAGCGCCGAAGCTGGCACGATACAAACCTTCTCCTCCTCCTCCTCCTCCTCCTCCTCCTCCTCCTCCTCCTCTTCCTCCTCCTCCTCCTCCTCCTCCTCCTCCTCCTCCTCCTCCTCCTCCTGTCGTTATCCCGTACAATTCGGGCGTCGAACGGTCCGGCCCGAGGCGCAGGGCATCGCGGCCGCGGTCTCCGCGGCGCTGTTGCCCGCGGGGCTCGCGGCGCTCGGCGCGGGCGCGGGCGCGGGCGCGGGCCAGGCTGCCCTTTCGCCCCTGATCGCGGGTGGGCCAGATCCTTTCGGGGCGTCGGGGCTCAGCGTGAACCCCAGATATGACCGGCGCCGTGAACAGAAATCTGGACGGAGGTTTTTCTTGTTTAGATATCGGCCCCAGGGTCGACCCGGGATGGAGAACCAGCCCCAGGGAAGGGGTCGAGGCTTCCAGGGGCCCCGTCTTTTGGAAGAGTCGGGACGTCGCCTGTCTGGGTGACGGGGGTCAGCCGACCCTGAATGGCTGATCCGGGAGTGGCGGGCCACGTGGGGCTGATTCCCCGTTTCCGCCCTGAGCTGCCAAGCGGCTGGCCGGGCTTTGCGACGGGGTCCCGGCCGACCTGGGGCCGGGTCGGCTGGTCCCTGCTGAATCTTCTCGTTCCAGGACCCAAATCGTTATGAGAGGTTCGAGGCGCTCTTTGTTCTGCACTTTTTTTAGCTCCTTGGGGCCCTGGTTGTCCCCAGGGTCGTCAAAAAACAACTCAGGGCGGAGAGCCTGTCCTGGGGAAACGGACCAGACATTCGGAATCAGGGGACCCAGAATGAGAAAGCATGACGACAACCTGTCTGTTTCTCGGTACGTGTCTCAACGATCATTGGAATGTCTATAGAACCTGATGAGTTGTGAAGGCATGGCGACAACCTGTTTTTAGCTGTTTTCGGAGTCCTGGGGGCCAAGCCGGACCTCGGGACCTCGGGCCAGGCCGGGATGAAAGATCAGTCCCGGGGAAGGGGGTCCCGGGCTTCCTTGGGTGTCGACGTTATGCGAAATAATCACGACGTCGGAGTTCCTCTCGGGAGCGCGGGGGAAGCAGTGTCGTTTCAAATTCCCGAAATGGTGGCTGTGGCGTTGGTGAGAGGCTGGAGGAGGAGAGGAAGATTCCTCCTCCTCCTCCTCCGCCGACGACGACGACCAATGGCGACGACTGGTGGCGACTACGACGACGACGCCCAACGGCGACGACCGATGATGGCGATGAGGGCGACGACGGTGACGGCGACGACGAAGACGACGACGAAGACGACGACGATGACCACCACGACCACGACCACGACCACGACGGCGACGGCGACGGCGGCGACGACGACGACGACCAACGGCGATACGACCAACGGCGGCGGCGACGGCCGGCCTCGCGGCAGGTGCCCCAGAGCTTCCTCGACGAGCTGTCCGCCACCAGCACAGGCGCCTGCGGGTCGGCGCACGATCCCAGTGGAGAGGGGGGGGGGCGGCGCGCGGCGCGGCGCGGTGCCGCGCGCGCGGTGCTCCCTCTTCCCTCCTCCCTCCTCCTTCGTCCCTCCTCCCTCCTCCCTCCTCCTCCTCCGCGCTCGCCGCCCGACAATCGCCAATTCGAGGTTCGAGGTGTTGGTGCGCTCTCGTTGGTTCTCGGCGGCTTCAAGGCCTCTTGTGACAACGCTCTTGGGGCGCAAGGAGGGTCCCGAACGGCCGCGGGAGACCAGAATTAAGGCCCGAAAGCCAGGGAGCGAGAGGTCAGGGGCAGCGTTGAGGCGAATAGAACCAGGGGGCTGAACCATTGACCCCAATCGCCCACTCTTCGCCCTCGACTTTTCGAGGATCGAGGTTGGATGTTTTCGTGCGTTTTCGTAAATTCTCGGCGGCTTCCTGTCCTCGGGATTCTCTCCAGCGGCTGCGCCTCGCCGAAAGCGTTCAGGGGGTGCCCGGATCGTCTCGAACGGCCGCAGGAGGCCCGATGCATGGCCCGCAAGCCATTAAGCGGGACGTCCGGGGCAGCGTTGTGGCGGATGGGCCCGCCGGGGGGTGGCATCGACCTTCAATCGCCGATCGACCCCCGAAAAGGGCTCGATAGCTTCATCCTGCCCAGGAACGTGCGGGGTCGCCATCGGGGGGCCTGCCGCAGGTCTATCGGCGCTGCATTTCAAGTGCCAGGTCGATGGCCACATCTCTGAGCCAGTCCCCCTCGAAGGTTGCCCTTCATGCTTTGGGCGCCCAGCTGCTGGGGGGGCCATCGACCCGGGGGGCATCGATGATAGCAGGAGCTTGAACGGCCCTGAAAGCCCTAAACCCCCAGCCTAAACTTGACAAAACGCACGTTTCTTCACCCCCTCCCCTTTCCGTGCTGGCCAGGGATATTTCGCTTCTTCCCCCTTCTGAACGCTCTGTAAGTCGTTCCCTCTCGGGTTGCGGCCTAATCTCCTCGCTGGCCGTCGGGCTCTGCATGGGAAGAACCCGCGGGCCCGTAGGGGAAAAACGTAGTGAGGAAGCTAGACCGTCGGCAGCTGTGGGGTGGCGCGACTGGCGCCCCCACCCCGCGTTTTCGGAACAGGAGTGAGAGTGTGTGTGTGTGTGAGAGAGAGAGAGAGAGAGAGAATGTGTGTTCGCGTGTGTCTGAAAAAGGGGGCGGTGGGGAGTGTGTGGGTGTGCGGGACAGGAAACCGGACCCCGCCATCGCTGCCAAAACACGCTCCACCAACAACGAGGATTTCGGTGTTTTGAACGACCCTCGGCGCGAGATTGTGTTTCTCTTTCGCGCCCGATTCGGACTTATCACCATGACCAGAACGGATCATTGGCCGTGTGCCACGTTGGTGAAGCTCCCTGAGCACCTTGCCTATTACGGGGGGGCCAGGTTCACAGGCAGTCCCCATCTGGAGGACGGCCACTTGATCGTGACGGACTTCGACGTCAACAAGCTGAACCGATGGCTACTCTTTTGCAATGCGGAGGCCGAGGTTCAGGCCCACAGTGTTCGATGCGCCTACGAGGTGGACTTCGCCAATCTACAAAACAGGCGCGCGGACGGTTTCCAGGTTCGGAAGGTCAATGGCGAAATCCGAGTTGTCCTCCCCTCGGGACCGGTAAGAACGCGTTCATCGACATGGTTCGACACGTGGCCAAAACGATTGTGAGTTGTTGGGCATTTCTTTCCGCCTTGGCGTCCATCACCAATATTCATCCGCACCAGACTGGGCAGAGCGAGCCCCGAAAGCCCGTGGACCACGACTGAAAAGGAATGGGCCAACCATGGTGCATCGCGACAGGTTGGTCAGTTGACGCTGGCGGCAACAATTTCGCTGTGTTCAGGGCGACCCTGCATTGCATCATCGTGGCCATGCCGCATCCGTAGAGACGGACAACGGAAGCGATGCGCCCGATGTTACGAGTGGTGAGGCACGCCGCCTGTGCAAGCTCCACAACACTGGCTGGGATGGACAACGGCCTCGGCAGCGCAGACGCGGCGCTCATGGACATGCGCGGGCAGCCGCTGGAGGTGACATCGGCGCAGGTCGAGAGGCAGGCGGGCCTGGAAGAAGGAGACGCGCACCCCAAAACCAATCCCCTTCGGGGGAGAAGGGCAATCCGCTGCGAGCGTTTGGCAACGAAGCTGGGTGGGCAATCGCAGCTTTGGACCCGCAACCTACGCCTCAGGATTTGCAGGTACTGCGCGACATTGCCTGCGCGCATCCACGGATCGAGGCCGCAGGAGGCGCTGCTGGACGAACGCGCGCGGTGGGCTTTCGCAGAACAGGAGGGGGCGCAAGGGAGACGACGTTCACAGTGCACGCTGCATCCCAGGGCATCCAGGTAGCGCGCTGGCATGGGCGCGCCAGCAGGCTCTCTCTCCTCGGTCGGATGGCGCTGCCTGCCATTTGCGACGCCCCTTTTCCCGCGCCCATCGAGGACTGCTGGCCAAGGCTCGATCCTAGGTGCCGTGGCGACCCATTGTTATGGAAAGCTCTAACGCACCACAATTCGAACAAGAAGATGAAGGGCATTCATCGGCACCTACCCTGAGGCGCCAGAGCGGACACGGCGTTTTTTTCTGTCCTGTCTACACGCTCGACTGGACATTAATGGCCAGTGAGTCTTGGACGGCCCGACCAACGCGCCGACGAGAGGCGCCGGATTCAGCGGTGAGACCGCGCAGGAGAAAGTTTTCGGGTTTACTCGATGCGGGCTGGAGGCGCGCGAGACGCGGCGCCAAAATTGAAGTTCTCAGCGGCGCCATCCAGGCGGGGGCCTTGCTGAACAGCGACAATGTCTGGACAAAAAAGGCGGCGACGCGCGCTTGCTTGCATTCCAGGTGTCTATGCCCGCTGACGAGCGCGCCCACGCGTGCGACCCCCATTCGCGTTTCGCCCCTTGCTCCGGCGACGACTGATCTCGGGGGGCCGCGTTGGAACTATTCGCGGATGAGAGGCAGCGCGCAACCAAGGCAGTCGCCGCCGATCAGCCGGCCTTTCTAGCGGAAGCCACGCAATTGGCGGCGCCGTGGATCTGCGGCCGAGTTGCGGAAGGGACGCGCCCTGGAGGCCACGTTGTGCTTGGGCGGGGCCCTCTCATAGATGGGGCCAGTTGTCCCGCGCCCACGCCGCGCCGATCAGCGAGGGCCCGCAGCGTCCTCGGGCCCCTCGGCAGGGAGGGCGACCGAGGAGTGGGGAAGGTGGCTTGCGGGGCAGACGCCAGCCCTGGAATGGGGCGCCGACGCAGACCGGGCGGCATGATTGGCGCGCGTCTTGCAGATGTGCACCCGCGACCTTCCCGATGAGACGCTCGCCGCGCTCGGCAGCGCATCGAGGCCCGCGCCAGGCGCTGCCCGCGGACCGCACCAACGCGGCTCAGCGGACGACGTCATCCGCTCGGAACCGCTGGAGCAGAGGGGCGTCGCGGGAGATTCGAAGACGAACGCGCGCGATCCGCCATCGATTCTGGAGAGCCAGACGACGCCATCAAACGATAGGGACCAGCAAGATCAGACCCAGGCAGGGCACCCGAGCGCACTGCGCCTCACCGAAGCTGTGCCTGACGGGAAATTCTCGCCCTGGCATGGGAGGCAACGATCGGGGGCGGCCGCCAGAATATGGCACCGCCGATCACCTCGCTCTTTCGGGGCGAACTTTCCGACGGCAGCGGCCGCGATTGGGCGCCCAAAATTCTCGATTGATGGATTGGGCGCAGATCCTGCGACAACGCAAGGAACTGACGCATTCTGGTCGGACTGCAGCGCCGCGTCGACGTGGGCAGGCGCGCGGGCCACGCCCTGCGCGGCATTCATCCACCTACCCGACGGTGGCGATTGGCGCATCGATTTCGATTTCCGAAAAAGCGGTTCGTGCCGGAGGACGAGCTGGATGTCTCGTGCCCTGCCCAAGTTGCACTGCACCACGCCCCCGAGGCACTGCGACGCGGCGGGGGCTGCGAAAAGATTGATGGGAGGGCCTCGCTGCGCGATGTAAGCTCCGCCCCGGCGACCGCGGCGCGCGAGGCAGGGGCGCAGAGGCCAGCGGGGATATGGTGGAGCTTCGTGCGTAAACCAATGGACACGGTCACAGGGCATATTATGTCAATTCGCTGGGGGCAGATGACCAGGCCTGACCTTGTCGCGGGTCATCGCATGCTGCTGCGGACGCACTCCAGACGCGCCGGGGCTTGGAAACGACGCGGTCAGAGCGACCGCGCGGCAATGCGGCGCGTCTCCGACGCATCGCTCCACGGCATGGGTTTTCTGATCTCTGGGATCCGCCGCGCGCGCTGACCGATGCGCGCTTCGACCCCATGCGATGCACTCTGGCTCAGCGCGCGAGGTGGTTAGTCATGGGGGCGAGACGCGGCGGACAACGACGCTGTGAGCTGGATGACTTCTGGCTACGACGCGTCGGGGACAATTGCTGCCCGGGCGCAGTCAGCGACACCCTGCCATCGCGTCGCGACGGTTCTCGACCGCGCATTGGCCGAGTGCGGGCGCGACCACGACCTGGGGGAATCCCCTGGCGCACTCCAAGAGATCTCCGTGGCGGAGGCGGAGGGCGCCCCTGGCCCTCCCCTTTTTTTCCCCCCCCCCGCTGCTGCTCATCCTGATCTGGTCGGTGGCTTGAGGCGCCGCGAGGATCAGCGGGTTCATCGCTGTGCCCGAGAAGGAGCCGCGCGGCCTACTCCGGATTTCGGCGGACGGGGCCAGGGCCCAGCGCCCGCGCGCAGCTGGCAGCTCGCGATCATGTCCACAACGGACGCGACATCAAGATGGCATGCATCTTCGGCAGCTGGTCGTTTGAGGAGAAGCGAACCTCTCACAAGGTTCAACCAACGCATGAAGGCCCCAGCGGGCGAGGCGCGCGCGCAAGTTTTGCTGGGCGCAGAGAGGGTCGGCGGACGCGGCGGCATGCGCGACTGGGGCAAGGGGCAGCCCCGTTCCCGCCGCGGCACGCTGGAGGACCCAGATTGGCGAAGTGTTTACATTCAAGGGCGCGGAGACAGGCGGCGCGATTTCTAGCCTCCTTCCTCCGAAGTGGCGGCGCATGAAGACCAGGGGCAGGCGAGCTGCATCGCTGCGCGCCACAACAGAGTCGCCGCGTGGACGCCGCCGATCGACGCGCGGAGTGCACCGTCGCACTGACTTGAAGGTTGTCTGCGGGCGCGGGCGGTTCACAGCCGCGCTGTCCCGATCAACCCGCGGCGGTGCGGACCTGCTGCGCGGCCGATCTTGAAACATGGCTGCTGGCGCAGCAGACTCTGGCATGTGGAACGCGCTCTGGAGGCGCGCCCACATGTTTTGCCCGCGCGGGACTTCGACGGGCGAGCCTCCCGTCCGCTCCAATTCTTTGCGCGGCGCATCGCAGCGAGTCAGTTCGAAAGATGCCGCGAACATCAGCCAGATGGAACCAGCTCCTCTACGAGGCTGCTCGCGCCATGCTGGCGAGACCACGCGCGCGTTGTGGGCTGGCTGCGCCGGCGGGCTGCACCTCGGGGAACTTGGGCGCCTGGACAACGCGCCGCGCTGAGCGTCGCGTGCAATGCGACGCAGGGGTGCGCCACTTATGCCGCGGACCCATACGTCCGCCCGGCGCCCCCGCCCACCCGCAGACCGCCGCGCGCGCGCAGTTCCGGCGCGGGGAAGCGAGGCCGATCGAGAGCGCGTAGGCGACGTCGCACTACGGTCGGGCGCATGAGCTCCCTTTGGGGTTTTGTTCGCGCCTATCCTGGCGGAAGTTCGCCTTCTAGGGGCGTCGACCTGCCCGCGCCCAAATGGTCTGGCCGTGGGATCGGTTGTCGGCGGCATCCCCGCCCCGCTCGCCCCCCCGACCCTGCCCCCTTTTCTCCTCTACTGATTGGGGGCGCCCGCGCGTGCATTAGTTGAGGGCGGCTGAGTTTTTTGTTTGACAACTTCGTTGTCAACGCTTGCTGCGCACTGTCCACGCGGCCTTGCCGCCCATGGTGCACGGTTTCTTCCTTGCGCCCCGCCCTGGCGACGTGCGGCGCGCCCCGCGCGCCCCGCGCGCCGCCCGGCGCGGTTTGCGCCCTTGGCGGCGCTGCTGTCTAAGGCGGCGTCGCGCTGTCAGCTCGGCCCCGCTGTCATCTCGCCAGCTTCGTTGCGTCTAGACGCCAGGGCTTCTACTCAGTCGGCTGTCCGATTATTTTCTGTCGCGCCGCGTGGCGCGACCGCACATCTCGTCGCGCTTTCTTCGCGTTCTGTTTACTTCTTCTTGTCTGTCGCGGCGACGGCGGCGCCTGCGGTCTCCGGTTGATAGCATTTTGCACCCCAACCCATGCGGCGCGGCCGCCGTAGGTGCTTGTCGTTGGCCGCCCTGGCCTGGCGCGGGGGGCCCGCGCGTTTGCCAGGCGCGATTGGCAGGTTCTCGCGATTTTTCCGTCTTCGGCGGCGTCGCGCGTCTCAATTTGCGCCCCGCGCGGCGCCGCCGCCGCCCCCTGGCGCCCCGGCCGCGCGGAGAGGCTGCCTTGGATCGGCGGCGGCAGCGGGGCCACCTCGCCCCCCTGCCGCAGGGTGCCATGGCCCCAGCCTCTTTTTGGGGCCCTCTCGCTGGCCGCGCTGCGGGGGGCCCGGGCAAGGGGTCGCCCGGCGCGGGGGGGGGGGGCGCTGCGCCCGTCGGGGGTCGCGGCGCTGCTGCTGGCGCGGCACTCTGTGCTGGCTGCCTTGATTGCCTGACTATCCTGGTGCGCAGTCACCGCGCGCGCGCGGGCGGATGCGTCGCGCGGCGCGACCGCGCGTTTCCCCGCACTACTCCTGTTCTTCGCATTCTATATCACACATCCCTTGTTTGATAGTGGCGGCGGTCGTTTGGCTGGGTGGCCAACGCGCCGCGCTCTTGTGTCTGCGCAGTGGCGCGGTGGATTGACGATGCTCACGTCTGTCCGTCTTGCAGGCGCTGGGATACGACAGTTTTACGTTTGCTGGCAGTTTGCGCGATCATATTTCATCCACGCACCATTTCCAGGCGTTGAAATATT